AAAAATAGCTATTTGTCTGGCTCCAATTGCTTTTTGGATGGAAGTAACACCTACATTTAGCAGAATTCTTAACAGTTTTCCAATAGTAAAGGTAAATGCCAAAACTTGCGACTTTTTATTACAAGCAGTAATGTTGAAAATACAATCGAAAATTAAACAATTATTTATTTTTATTACTAAGGCCTGGTTGCACCAACGTTACTTTGACTTTAAGCAAAACTTAAAACTCTTTCTGTCTCGTTTTAAAGTGAAAAACAGATAGAGACAGAGAGTTTTAAGCTTGCTCAAAGTCAAAGTAACGTTAGTGCAATCGGGCCTTAATGTGCTAAAAATATTGTTAGCTATTATGAGCTAATACTCTTGAATGTTTCTTTTGTATGTTCCAGGAAGTTCTAAGAGAACGTGAAATATATGATATTTTACCACAATCTTTAACGACTGTTACAATAGCAAGACTATTGTGTAATGATAATGCAATGACTCAATTTATTTGCATCACTATATTGTTTTTTATCGTCGGTCGTGATCCAACACAACTCAACACTGTAAGTTTTATTACATAATACATAAACATTAAACATAAAACAAATATAATGTGTATAATGTGTGTGTATAAATACCTTTTATTATATTATATAAATTTTCTAACTTTTTATAGTTACATAAATGTATACTATGAGAGAGAGATGAGAGAAAGACTATATCCACTTCTCCTGTCCTCTTCCATTTATTAATTATGCTATGACATTTTCATCCGTATGAATTATTTCTGTTATAGACAACTCTGCCAGATTTGCTTTCCTATTTTCCAGCCGGTACTTCTGTACAAACATTAGGCCATTATTACCAAAATGCTCATATAATGAGTGAGTATTTCCTTTTGTATAAAGTAATATTCTAAAGTATAATGGAGCAATAAAAATTTCCATTGCTTTTCATCATTTAAAATAAGATATTGAAAAATCTAAATTAATTTATAATTTTTGTGTGCATATACAGGGTGTCCAATTTTAAATAATGCATCAAGGGGATGCTGGAGTGATCAAATTATTACATTACAGTCGTATAAAGATCTTCGAATTGACTGAACAGAATAAAAAAACCTTTTACAGGGTTAAAGACGCAAAATTAGAAGGTGGTGCGGTGGACCTTGTATTAAAATCGAAAAAAAGTTAAAAATATTTTAACATTCTTTCGATTTTAGTATAAAATCCAAGCACCACCTCCTAATTTTGCGTCTACTTTAATCCTGTAAAAGGATATTCCGTTCAGTCAATTCGAAGATTTTTATACAACTGTAATGTGATAATTTGATCACTCCAGGATTTCTCGAAAACTATGGTAGATAAATACGGAAAAATGTTTCAAACAAAAGTTGTATGGTTCGGAGGGGGACATAAGAAGGTACCATTGATTTAACCTTGGGTGGCGTCGCCAAGACCAGGTCAAGGTCACGTCGATTTTTTAGCGAATATATTTTCAGCGATTTTTAGTAATTAATATCTCGTTAACCATTGCAAAAATTGCAAAATGGTAGAGGCCCTGGCGGAAAAGTTTTACGAAAAAGTACATAGATTGAGACAAGATCTTAGAAATTATTAATTTTTCATGGATATTCGTAGTGGGACGTAGAGCGACGTTGTTTCTTTAAAAAACCTAGAAATCTCTCTCTCTCTCCACTACCCCCCCTCAAACAATGCCATTCTACGTCTCACTATGAATATCTACGAAAAACTAAAAATCTCTAAGGCCCAGTTTCACAACTCACGATTAACTCTTAACCGAGGTTCAACTTGTTTCTCATCTCTTTCCAATTCTAAAATTGGAAAGAGACAGTGAATAAGTTGAACCTCGATTAAGAGTTAACCGTGAGTTGTGAAACTGGGTCTAAGACAAAAATCTCACTCTACGTCTCACTATGAATATCTACGAAGAATTAAGAATTTCTAAGATTTTGTCTCAATCTATGTAGTTTTTCTGTATTTTTTCGTAAAATTTTTTTTCGCCAGAGGGGAATCCTTTTCGACTCAATTTAGTCCGCTCTATCTATACAAAAGCGATTAGCAAAAACTTACGAGATACCCTGTATATGTATATATATATTGTATATATAATAATTTAATTGTATAAATATATAAAAATTTAATCCTTTTTTTACAAATGTACTTTTAAGATTTGAATACATATTCAGATATTTTTACGATTAATATCGATTGTTGTAGATGATTTTCGAAACTATGATTATGGAACAGCTGAAAATTGTAAACGATATAAACAGGAAACACCTCCAAGTTATGATGTCAAAAAGATTACTGTTCCGATGATTTTATTTTACGCAGAAAATGATATGGTTGCCGCAAAACAGGTGAAAATTTAGTTTTTAATTGCTTAATTTTTATTCATAAAATGGCAAAATTTTGTATATGAATATAACAAAATGGTCATCACGTAATTAATTGTTAACGATATAAAAAATCTAATGGAATGCAAAATAAAAGAAACATAAATAAAAAGAAAAACAGTTCATTTATATAGATAATTTATTTTCTGTTCTGAATATGTTTAAATTATCTCGTTATTAATACTGTTCTTTCATTACATTTTTGATTTTCAGAATGTGTTTGAACTTGACAAACGCTTACCAAATGTTCTTCTAATCGAAAAAGTTCCACACGAACTCTTTAATCATGCAGATTATATATGGGCAATCAACGTAAAAACTCTTTTATACGATCGGATATTAGAATTAATGCAAAAATTTTATGCTAGCTAAAATATATTTATAAAATGAATTTAATTAACAAATGTAAATTAAGTGGAGAGAAATCCTAATTTTTCTTCTATATACAGGGTGTTTCCAAATTAAATCGCAAAACTTCGGGAGCGTGTAGAGGAGTAAAAAACTAAGAAAAAAAGTCCTATAGACATATGCTCGTTTTTGCTCCGTTTCAGAGAAATCGAAAAAAAATGTTTACATTTCTTGCCATATCTAGCACCGACATATTTGATTACATTTTCCACTTTCTGTTATGAATTTGTCAGTCGCTCTTTGAAAGCCTTTAACAGTAGATGAATTTTGTCTTTTGCAATATGCCGCGTACGTATTCTAATAGTGAATATGCTGATATGGTTTTTGTATACGGTTTCTGCAACGGTAATGCTTTAAAGGCGGTGCGAGAATATGCACGACGATTTCCAAACAGAAGAGTGCCAAACCGAAGAGTGTTTATGTTGACATTTAATAGATTGCGAGAGACTGGAACATTTTCAATTCGACAAGAAAACAACCGATTTCAAGCAGCGTTACGAAGAGATTTGCAGGCAGGGAATCGTATTTAATAATTAAAATAATAAATTAAATATATTTTTTTCTTTTTTCGTGATTTCCTGCGAAACAAAGCAAAAAGGAGCATATGTCTATAGGACTTTTTTTCTTAGTTTTTTACTCCTCTACACGCTCCCGAAGTTTTGCCATTTAATTTGGAAACACCCTGTATATATATATATATAAATTTGAAATACTAGTAAACGAAGAATTGCTAGAAAAATTAGTAAGTATGTGTGTGCATGTGTGTGTGTATACTTATGTACTTACTGACTACACACACACACATACACACATTTTTTAATTTGCATGAAATTTGTCCAATTGATATAAAATCATTAATTATTTTGTTAGACTGCTATGTGATAAAATTAAAATAAGAATACATTTAACATTGAATTAATATTAATTTAAATCATAAATAATTAAACAATATGTAGATTGTACATATTTTTAAAGATGCATACCTTGCATATCTTAATTTTGAATCAGTACCTAGTCTTGTTGTGTGAAATCACAAATCAATGCTTCTTTTGATATTGAACCAATAATAATATCTATATTTTAAGATTATTTCAAGTAAGAATAAAGAGAACATTTATTCAAATAATGCATTGGTGTAGCTCCGGTTTGATTCTGATATCTTTATATACATATATTAAATGCATTATTACAAATACTTATTTTTACTTAATTATTACAAATGTGTTTACATCATACAACGAATACTACAAAGAAAAAAAAAGTCAATTTCATTTTCTTTAACTATAGCAATTCTAATTAATCATATAAATATGTGTGTATGTGTGGTTAAATAAGAAATGAAATAAAGATGTACTTTCGCAAAGAGAAGAGACATTTTCTTTACATAAGATATATGAAAAGCTATCCATCTGCATCGCAAAATATCATTAAAACTTCATCATCTATCACTATAAGCTAACCACTGCATTGAATTATAAATGGAAATTGAATTGTAATTCGACATGTAATTTCTTGCTTTGAATGTATGCCACAATTCGATAGAATTGGACTAGAAATCTTAAATTTATCAAAATTATATGTTAAATTATTAATATTTAGATATGCTCATCTAGAAAGATGCCTTATCTAGAAAATTTATAGAATAAATGGCTTAAATTTGTATACCTAAATCAAATTTTGTAGAAAAAAAAATTGAAATAGCTGTTTCTTTAATATATACGAAGGATACAATTCATCATATTTTTACAACCAATATTGCATATCTTTTAATTAAATTTCTCAAATTAAAATTCTATTAAAACAGGATATATCAACTGTAATTACGGTAATTCAAATTTATTATCTATTTGTGATTCTTCAAAACTTGATTCAATAATTAAAAAACTATTGATATTTTATTTTTATACTTTTATTAATAAAAGTCAATTTCAAATCAATAAAAAAATGTTTCCTCTTTCTCATTCGTTAGTTCATTTATTTCGACATATTTTGTATAAATTAAAATCAGAAAATTCGTTTATTCGACAAAAAATATACATTCATTATTTAGTGTTTCATTAAAGATATTTGTTCATGTATCTCATAAATTAATTATATTCGAGCTTGTATATTTTTAATCTATCGAATAAAGAGCAATTTCTCTATTTTTAATCTATTTTTCAATTCTTACTTAATAATTTAATGCATATATGTAAAATATAGAAATGCCACGCGTGTACAATTGACCCCGAGTAATAAACCAAGAGATAATAGAATGGGCTCTACGACAAGCCATTACCTAAACTTTAAATCTGTCCACAAACACAATAGGTGTAGTAAGCCTTAAGCCTTAAGGAATTGACCAATTATACTCGATTATTCTTCTCACATTCATCTGTAAGAAACAATTTCTTAAGGTTTAAGGCTTACTACATCTATTGTGTTTGCGGGCTAAGGCTTAAATAGTGGCTTATTGTAGGGAGCTCATATAACAGAAGGTACAAAAGGTAAAATCAAATTTATATAAGGAAAAGTTCAGCTGATTAAAAATAATATATAGTGTTAACTGTATTAAGACTTATGCAGAAGTTTATTTACGTATCTCTGTGTAAGTACGAGTATGTGCGTGTACGTGTTTAAGTTAATTATAGAAAAACAATTGATCATAAAATATTTAAATCATTTGCATACAATGTCTTATATATAATGTATATTTATCTGACTTATGTGCATGCATTATATCTTAAAACATACTGCTTTACGGTTTTACAAGCATAAGAAATAAGAATCTTTATAAAAAAATTATTTCAATATACACGTCTTGCTAATATAACAAGTTTCTTTTTTTATCGGCAAATGAGTTTTCTGCTCATTATGGTTTAAATTTTTATGCATAATTATCTATTCATTATGTAACTATCATATCTTGACTGTATTATTTAACAAAGAACACATGCGACCATGTGGATCGCCATTTAGGAAACAACATGCTGCAGCAAAGGCAATTTTTTCGGTACTAATTATCAGCAGTCGCATTCAAGTGTACAATATCAAATTTGTACCTTGTCTTGACGGTTCAGTTTCTCAGGTTTCTCAAGTTTTTAAATCTTGGCAATATAATCAGTCCTAATTAACATTTTTTTTCACAATGTTTAATTATCTAAAATGTATAACTTCTACGGCATTTTAGACCGTGCATTTCAATAGTGTTAGCCAAATGTTACAACGAAGTATCCGATGGTGGTGTACTTTCGTGATGACTAATTTGACTTAAAGAATGTTGTAAAGCATCAGGTGTTAGCCATTCCTTTGGCAAACAACGTTGGAGAAACGGTACACATGAACTAAAATAAGCCAGACGATTTACCCAACCAGGTATTTCCTGTCCACATAGAATCTGAAATAGATTGTATTGAGTTCCATTGTACTTTCCATACAATTTGCTCATTAATATTGTTAAAAAAAGCAACGCACCAATGTGAACTGACTGCTGAAGTGATTACAGTTTTTATTCATCAGATGATAACGGTCTCCTCTAAAATCTTTGCCTAATTCCGTAATAATTCTTGAAACATCTTCTTCCGTAAAATCTGTATATCCAATGTGAACAGACTGTCTATAAAATAAAAGAATTCCATTGATTTTTCATGGTACTTGAGAGAACATATGCTTGATTTATATTTATATAAAAACTTTACCTATATCTAAACTGTTCGCCTAGTTCATCAGCTACTCTTGGAGTAATTTCAAAAATGCCGCTTTTTGGTTGAGCATGACCACCATATGCATATTCTACAGCAGAAATATATCTAATGTATTGTCAAAGTTTTGTATTTTCATAATTGTACATACTTGCTTTTTCTTAAATATATAATACATACCTGTTCCATATATTTCCACTCCAGAATGAAATACACCGAGACCAATAGGTGTAGTATATTCATTTATCCAATACTATATACAACAGGACATATAATAAATTAAATCAAATGTGTCTAAAAACATAGTGTCAGATTATATATTCTTTTTATGAGTAGAATAGTTTGGCTCTTATAGAAAATTGATTAATCATGAATAAATTTATAAAAATTATCATTTGACGAAGCGATTCATAATAATATTCATTTTACTTATAATACATTGAAAACAGTAACTTACCATGTCATAAACATTAAGAATGATTGGCTCACGTGCCATTTTTGGGATCAATTCCTCACTATCTTGTGGATAACCCAAACAACTGGGGAAGGAGAGATTACAGTTAAGGCCAGACGAAAACATCATTGGAAACTTTGTATTAATCTGTAGATTAAAGTTGGCTATTAATGTCTTAATAAACCTAACAAATAAATATACAATTTTATGTTTCCACAGTCTCTATATTCACAGAGAAAAATATAAATTAATTGCTATACAATTGGTTTAAGAAGTTATATGTTATATGAAATTATAAGTTATTATAAGTTATATGAAAATTATAAAAAAATTGATTAGATCATTCTCTGCATGTATTAAAAATGTTATATTTACATACAGTATTTTTATAAATATATAATAATACTAAGGATATACTGATTATCGCCATGTCATCATTATTAATGCTAAATGTTTTGTAAAACTTGCTTCATTCACTTTATCAGACCGAGGAACACACTGATACTGAGGCAAGGTTCATGAAACATTGGCATTAGCAATGGATCATGACACAGCGATAACCCACAAATCCTTTGGCACTTCTGAAAAAATCTGTGAAAGCCTCAAAAGTAATACCAAAGATAATAATGTATATATATAGTAACTCTATTTTAACTTTCTTTTTATCAACAAATTGGGCAATTTGGAGTTATTTTCATTAACAAGTATATACAGATAAATATCAAGCAAAATGATAATACCTTATAACATAAACTCGACACTAGCACAATGCTTTGTGTTTAATTGCTAGCTACGTCCATTCTTGTAAGAATGTTTTATTGCGTGTTTGGATGTTATTCTTCTTTTCTTTCTCTCTCTTTCTCTCTTGATTTCTTAATTATCAAACAAATTATCTTTACATTAAATATGGCACGTCATTCTGATATACTGTCATCTTTACAACTGTAACATATAAAATTAATTCACTTTATGTTCGAATTTCGAAAATTTTCTTCGAGTAATAAAGAACCACCTTTGTAAAAGACCAAATCACTGCGTTTGAGCGACTGTCTACTTTAGCCACGTTTTAATTCAAATCAGATTAATATAAATAAGGAATATGTTATTCGCCAACTAACATCCCATTAAATTCATTGAGTAATGCACAGCGTTCAAGTTCGCAAGCTTGTTACATAGATAAGTAATTTATCTAGTAGTATGAGATTAATATCAGCATTGATCAACATAGGCTGCTGTTAAATTGTGTAATTTTGCACACGATTCTCCAGCGATAATTTTTCTCCGAAATAGATGAATGTTACTTCTCGCAGCTGCTTCTTGCTTGGTCTCTTGCATCTCAACATAAGAATGTGTTCATGTGTTTGTCGATCCGCGTCATCTATCGAAACACTTATAAATCTCTCAGCTCTTATAATTAGGGTGCTGTCCCATGGGCACGGAAAACGGAATCGGAACACGGAATCAGAAAGGTAAAGTGGTAGGAACAACCAATCAGCATCGTTCCGTTCCGATTTTAAGTAGCTTGGCTCCCCATGGGACATATTTTTCGGAAACGGAAATTTTTCGTACTGTCAATTACCAGTGATCACTAGCGATTAAGAATAATATTGAAAAATTTCAACTAAAAGGAGTATTAAAAAGGTGGAAAATGTCTGTAAGTATTGTAATTACATGTATGTTAAATTATTTTATATTAGATTATAATGATGGTTTTGCATACATTTCTAATCTTATTTTGTTTTATATATATTAAATATTTTTTATTTGATTCTTGTAGGAAAAGATGAAAGCGAAAACAGCACGATTATTTCTTATGAAAAATATAATACAATGGCAAAGAACTCTCCACAGTTACCTTGGCAAAGAGAGTTTCGAAGAAGACAGCATCTCCAGATAGCTTAGTTATCCAATGAGAACAGAAAGTCGAAATAATATCAATTTGACATTATATTGACTGAATCATGACGAAAAAATGATGTAGATTCGGTCAATAATCACAATGACGTCAAATTGACATAATATTTATTTTCTTGTTTTCCCTGGGTATCTGGCATATTGTACGGTCAGGGTCAAAAAGGTTGCAACATTTTTTTCGATGGGTTTCGGAATGCAGCTTGCTCACCGAGCAATTGGTTCTTATTCATGGATCGACAAGTAAGAACCAATCGCTCGATGAGTAGGCTACGTTACTCATCGAAAAAAAATGTTGCAACCTTTTAAGCCCCGACTATACAAACTACGGTCCACTTAACTCTTCAAAGTATTTTTTGATTGATCAATTAGTAAAATTCTTTCTTCCGATTGGTCAATCAAACGCTTCGATGTATTTGTAGTACCAAGTATACCGCACCCACAGTTTGCGCAATTAATCCCTTCCAAGCCTAATGCTGGATTAAAGCAGCTTTGCACTGTTGTGCAATTCTTGAATATGATTGGTTTATACATTTAGATCCAATGAGGAATTAAGGGCAAGACCAATCATATCAAAGAATTTTACACAGTTGCAAAGCTGCTTTTTCTACTGAACACAGCCGATGTTATGCTGATTCGTACGATGAAAATCGGATGCAGTGTGAATCCAGCATAACATCGGCTGCGTTCAGTAGAAAAAGCAGCTTTGCAACTGTGTAAAATTCTTTGATATGATTGGTCTTGCCCTTAATTCCTCATTGGATCTAAATGTATAAACCAATCATATTCAAGAATTGCACAACAGTGCAAAGCTGCTTTCTTTGCTGAATGCAGCCATCAAGGTGAAGTCCCATGGAGCCAGCGTACGGCATACCGGCCATATAGTATATATCTGAGTTTGGCAGAACGGTGCGAGAGGCAAAATATCGGGGCAACCTATCCTTCTCTGCGCGCGCAACTTAACAGTAAACGTACTTTGATAATACTTAAGAACTCTACTTTTCTCATCGATTTTGACGAAATTAGGCTCACTCGATGCGTTTTTGAAATGAACGAATGTGGCAACAAAAAGTGACGCTCTGCCCCGTAGACCGAGATAATAACCGTTGAAGTTAACAACTATTCAGGTTAGAAATTTGTAAAATCGATAGATATCGCATAGAGCAGTGCTCGCAAAAATCTGCACATTTCGAGTCGATTCCTACGAGCGCTGCCTACTGTCCCTCCATAGAGACACTGGCTGCGTTCAGTAGACTCAACAATTTTGCAACCGTTTTATGATTGTCTGCTGAGATAGGACCATTCTTCTAGATCTAAAAATATGATCCAATCAGCGCGAAGGAAACTTCCAATAGTTGCAAAACAAACGTTCTGCTGAACACGGCCACTGTAATAAGAGACTGGCATAGATGGTATAATTTTTGATTGGCTGGATATGGAATGGCAGAAACCAATCAAAAGTCGTGCTGATAATAGATGATAGTACAGCCCGAATTCTGATTGGCTTCTGCTTTCCTACTTTTTCTGCTTTTCTGTCCTAGTTGCGAACGCGTCCTATAACTTATCGTCCTGTGAATTTTCTATCCAACTAGAACTTATGCCAGTCTCTTATTATTGACTACGTTTACACGCACTGGTAAAACCGTTTTAATAAAAACCGTTTTAGTTAAAACCGGTGTTAGATGTCCTGTAAACGTCTCTTAATACAGATGTTATTAAAACCGTTTTAGTAAATCCAAACCTCTTCTGAAACAGGTTTGGCATTACTAAACCGTTTTACGAAAGCCGTGTAAACGGTCTTCAATCGGTTTAACGTATCAAAATTCGATGTTACCAACTTTAGACGTTAAGGTTAAGAAATGACAAAGGATATTTTGTCTCAGGTTCTGTATCAGGTTATATAAAGCTACTTTATTTTTGGTGGAGGTAAAATACG